ACTTTTGAAGTTTAGTACAAATTTAGAACTTTTCGCAATCTTATAGTTCGAATTTCCAAAAACCCTATCTCAATTTTGTCTTAATTCGTTTGTCTATTACAAAGTGTTCGATTATTAGAACATATCTAATCTTCTAGTACGCATTTAGTACCCAACTTTTGTCACACGCCTACACATGAAGACTGAGCCTCATACAAAATTTTTTATTTAGATTTTCTCATGTATTATTAAAAATGTCCACCATTTTTTATCATAAGCTGAAACCATTTCCAATAACTCCAAAAAATTGAATTTTCAATAATTAATGATAATGTCCAAAACCTCCCGAAATCAGGTGTTCCATCTAGTCATCATTTAATAATAATTTGCTATAATTCATATTTCCCATAACTACCTTGTGTTACAAACCACATATCACTGCCCCCAATGCCATGTAGCGCCTGGAAATCTGTTATGTAATCATCTTCGAAGCCGGTCATTTATCACAAATGAAACAAAGAGAAGCAAAGAAATCACTTTTCACAAAGATCTTATCATTGCATAAGGTAAGTAGAGAGCATTGTTAGTAGGTGTATGTATGTGTGTGAGTGTGCCATTTTTGGTTCCATTCCAATTGTTTCTTTCTCCTCCGAGAATTGTTACGAAAAAGTGTAGCTCGAATACAATTCAGCTTTTGAAGATTTCTGATTGTCATGGAAATTATTGGCATCTTTTAAAAAAAGCGTTTTTATTTCTTTCTCTCTCTTTTATCTTCCCTTTTGTTGTTTGAATCATCTTTTTTTTTTGTTGCTGTTGTCTGGTTTTACTTTGGCCATATCATCAATGAAACAGAAAGTGATTTGCTGACTTTGTGCCTCAAACCAGTTGCCTTAGATAGCCCAGCAAAATAAGCTGACTAATTTGTTAATTTCAGAGAAGACATGTTCGTCTCGTTGTTTTTTTTTTTTTTTTGCTTTTGGCAAATATGACCAAAGGCGGATTATGTTTTTTTTAAGTTAAATACATAATTTTTAAATTTATTATGGGATTTTTTTTTCATTTGGGTGTTGTGATGTATAGTTATTAAGGTTTGAAATGTTAATTTGTTGAATTTTTGATATTTTGGAGTTTTGTTGCTTGGACCGGAAGAAGGGAAAATATGTGCATGTGAATCATGGTTATAACATATGCGACATTCCTATTACCGGGTGTGGGATTGAGTATCATTTTAAAGAGGCTGATGGTATTATTGTTGTTTTAACAAGTTCAATTTTAACTTATACATATATCTTTTCGGCCGTTGACAGCTCTTTAGTTCAAAAACTACCCGCAAATCTCAACACCAGATACCAAGAGATATCACAATATCAAATTTTGAAATACCATCTCTATACACTCACTCAATACTTAATTTAGTACTTTTCGTATAATTTTAGTACACATTACCAAAACCAAATCTATATCACAATTCCTCTCAACCACTGACACCGACAGTGACATTCATTTCAAACTTTAGGATTTCAGCTCTTCCCCCACTTCACCCATTACAAAATTTAGTTCAATTTAGTACTTTTCGAACAACTGTGGTACGTTTTTTTCAAACCCACCTTCATATTTAAACCACAAACCCGTCGTTCAAATTCCGGCATTCTAGCTCTATCCCTTTCCCCAATACCCAACTGTATACCATTAATACTAGTACAGATTTCCAAAATCAATTCCATATTTCAATCCCAGAGACCTCAGTATAAAATTTGAGGATACCAACCCTATCCCTTCACTCAACATTTGCAAAATAATCTCCATATCTCAACCTCAGATACCAACAGTGGCCTTAATATCAAATTTCAGGATTCCAATTCTGTAATTTCCCCCGTTGCCAAATTTAGTACAATTTATTATAAATACGGTACATATTTCCAAAACTACCTCCATATCTCAACACCAGATACCAAGAGATATACCTCAATATCAAATTTAAAGATTTGAGGATTCAGTACATTTCGTACCATTATAGTACACATTTTCAAAAGAATTTTATCCACATCTTAAGTTCAGACACCAACAGAAACCTCAATCTAAAATTTGAGGATTCCAGCCCTATCGCTTCACCCAATTCTAAATATAAAACCATTCAATAATAATACCTTCAGTCATACGGCTACAGATGGTATATATCATTTGATACGGCCAAAACGTGCCTCATCGGTAACGATTTTAGACCCTAGGTCTTTTTAGACCAAATCCGTTTCAGGATATTTGGAGTCGATCTAATGATGTCCGTCCGTCTGTCTGGCTGGTGCGTACGATAACTCTTGAAGGGATTATCTGATTTAGTCCAAACTTGGTACATCGTAATATTATTATCAAACTAAGACCGAGTTCGGAGATGGGCAATATCGGTTCACCCCTTCTGGCAAATTTCCCACAAAAAGGTCGACATTTTCAAAAAAAAAAAAATATTTCACTGCACAGAAAGAGTAAGGATAATTCGAATTGGCTCCAACTTTGCGAATCCTAATTTTTGCATCAGTGTTAGGTCAGGTGCAAAAATGGACAATATCGGTCCAGTTCATGAAGTACCTCCCCCACAAAGGTTTAAAATTTTGAATACTTATAAATCTTTTAAAATGTGATATAAGAGTTCGATTGTAATCGAATTACACACATCACAGTATTTTTTTTTAACCGAAGGTGTGGTGTGAACATGAAATATATCTGCAAACTCCTTGTAACTCCCCCATAAAGGGCCAAACTTTGCAATATCCATGAAGCCCATACAACGAGAAGTTAACATCCGATTCCATTCAGAATTGGCACATCTTTATATTTCTATGAACAAAAGATCTGTTGTGAAGACGGTAGAGATCGGACCATTCCTTCTGATACCTCCTTCAAAAAGGGCCAACGTTTTGAATAATCAAAACGATCATAAAATCGAAAAAAGGCATCCGGTTCTTTTCATATTTCACACATCTTATTATTTCTACTAACATTAGATTTGATGTGAAGATGGGATATATCGGTTCACTCCATCAAGTACCTCCTCCACAAAGGGTAAAAATTTTGAATAATTATAACTCTTATAAAATGTGATGTAAGAGCCCGATTGTCTTCAAACTACATACATCAAAATATTTTTATTAATTCAAGGTCTGCTGTGAAGATAGAATATATCGGTCCACTCCTTCTGGCACCTCCCCCACAAAGGGTCACAATTTTGAATATCTATGAAGTTCATAAAGAGCGAAATTAACATCCAATTTAATTCAGACTTGGCACGTCTCAATATTTTCATCAACACAAGATCTGCTATGAAGATGGTAGATGTCGGACTATTTCTTCTGGTATCTCCCTCGCATAGGGTTCAAGATTTTGAAAAGCACAACACTCAACGGAAGCGAAATAAGCATCCAACTCTCTCCAAAATTTCACACATACAAACATTTTTGCTAACACAAGGTCTATTGTGAGCTTCTGGTAGCTCATCCACAAAGAGTCACAATTTTCAATACTTTTATCTGTCATAACATGCGAAATAAGTCAGCGATTCTTTACAACTTGCCATATCGGAATATTTCCCCCAACTAAAAATGTGAAATGAAAATGGAATTTATGATAAAATTGAATATACATAAATGATCGATTTCCTTTAATTTTGCCCTTTCCATTATTTTAGGTAGTACTCAATGAAACTTGAAAATGGAATACTTCGGTCGACTATACCTGATATCTCATTTTCTAAAATTTATCACATATCTCATAAAAAGTGAAGGAAGTAACCGATATAGCCCAAACCTGACACATCCCAACATTTATATTATATTTATTTAGGGCTGATACGAAATGAACATTATTGGTCCATTCCTTCGGACTCTACTCCATAGAAGGTCAACAATTTGAAAAATCATAGCAGAAATAAAAATATATTTAAATAAGCGAACATTGGCTGAGGGTATACATCTGTCGGCAAAACCGACTGATACTTTTTAACATGTTTTTGTACAATTATAGAACACATTTCCGAAACCAACTCCAAATGTCCAGGCTAGACATGAACAGCGACCCTGATATCAAATTTCTACAGAGCCTACAAAGTATATATATTCTGAATTAGTGTGAAATTCTGAGACGATCTAGCGATGTCCGCCTGTCTGTATGTCTGTTGTAATCATGCTATCTTTCGAACAAATTGAGATAGAAAGTTTAAATTTTGGATAGATGCATAGTTTACTAGTAGGCAGGTTAAGTTCGTGGATGGGCCAAGTCGGTCCACGTTTTCGTATTGCCCCCATATAATGGTACCTCCCGATATTCGGTATTTTCATGATTTTAGCGACATTATTTACCTGAATTATTTTAAATTTCATATGACAAAAAATTTCATATGCAGGTCCAAGTCTTCGTATAGCTCCCATTTAACGATATCTCCCGATATTCGGTATTTTGATAATTTCAGCAACATTATTCACCAGAATCGTTTCATATTTCGTATTGAAGGTCTTAATGGGTACTACAACCTATGGCAAAAAATTTTGCCATAGCCCCCATATAACGATACCTCCCGATATTCGATATTTTACTGATTTTATCGACATTATTTACTGGAACTGTTTCAAATTTCGTATTTGAAGTTGGAAATGGGTACTACAGCCCATGACAAAAAATTTCGTGCACGTCTTCGTATAGTCCTCATATAATGGCTTTCATTTAAGTGGTAGTTTTTGGATTTCTTTTGAAATTGTTCAAGTTCCTTCCAAATTGGTGGAGGAAATTAAAGTTCGACACGGCCCGGAACTTAACTCTTTTTTTACTTGTTCATAAATTATTGGACTTTTCCTGTAATTTTCGAAGAAATTTTTAAATTTTTCGCATAGTGTCATTCAAATGCGGACTTTGTATTGACTAAACAGACGTTGTATTTCAGACCTTACCTGAAAATCAATTTAAGTCTTAGCTGTACATAGCGTAATTTAGACTGTAGTGGAATAAGTATGCCTTTTTTCATCCTTCCAATATTCTTAACATATTACCTGCAAAGAAAAAAAGAAAATTTATATTTTAATAATTTGGATTTGAAAACGTTTATATAAATATTTGCATTTAAAATCTTATTGGCTTATATCAAGAATTTCCCCCTGTCACAGGCCAGAAATTCCATTACTGCAATAATTTTAGTGGAACATGACCCAAATCGAAAGTACATTTGATTCAAAAACATATTTTACATCAAATCAAACAAGCAGAACAAAGATGTTAAAAAACCATATGCATGCATGTCCCAAAATATCTGATTGTTGTAAATCACATTATTTTTTATCAGCCGATTCAGCAGCAGTAACAGCATCGTCATCATCAACGACTACAAGAAGACAGCATTAGCTTTTTCATCAGGTTTTATTTAATGCCTGTGAGTATGTGTGTGTGTGTGTGAATATTTTTGTCTTTTTTTTCTGCTAAACATATTGAGTTGACCAATTTCCCATCAAATGTCAAAAGTTACAACTACTTTAGTAAAATGTGCAAAATTGACCGAAAAAAAAAAAAAACAAAACTTAGAAAAATTGCATCTTCACTTAAAAAAGATTTCATGGCAAAGCTCCAGGACACATCATCGTTATCAAGACCCTCAACCACAGACAGGCGAGCATCATTACTGTGACTGGTTACTGGGTTTTTGGGAATTTATTTTTTGGAGATTTTGCGGTTTACTTTTGCCTCGCTTGTCTCTTGCCACAACTTTTTTTTTCAAGGTCTTGACAAGTCTTTTTTCGTTGCTCCTTCTTTCTTCAACCGACCACCTCCACCAACAACTCTTTCAACTTCCAATAGTTTCTACTTCGACAGCTTCATTCGACATGCATCCATAGTTTAATGATGTTGCAGTTGTTCGTTTTTTCTTTCTTATTTTTGGTAACCAAAAAAACAAAAAGAAGACAAGAGGAAAAAACACCGCAATGCAAGTGGAGGCGGCATTGATTTGCCATAAAAAGACAATGTCTATCTAAAAAAAATAAAGAAACCCCACTTCCTTTTTTGGCAATGCTGTGGCCATATATGTATTCGTAATCGGGCCAATTTGAATGCAGATTCGAAGGAAAATGCAATGTCATTTCGTTTTCCATAAAATAATTTGTGACAAAAGTTTCACTTTTCAAAATGTCTTTTATGGGTCAAAGGAGGTTTTTTTAATTTGTCAGCAAAATGGCCATTGATGTTGTTGGCCTGAAAATAACATTTAAAATGATTTGGGGGGAAAAGTGATTAGCAGACTGCTGAAAGATGTAAATTTTGTAAAAGCCTAGGGACGTGATTTAATTCTACAAGGGACCTATGAGGGTCCGTCATCTCCATTTCGACTTTTTACAGGAAACTTGCAAAAAGACTAAATTTTTAAGACATATAGAGGGTTTCCTGTGAGTACATGAAATATGAATGATATTATAGGTACTACAGGATGGTGGAAATTCTGTGGAGGATATTTAGTGCATAAAAATCTGTTTTTAATTATGTAAATGAAAAAGACCTGAGGATGCTATATTCAGGACTTGAAAAAATTAAGCATAAGAACCTGAAATTCTTTTGGGTTGCCCATATTCGACGGACTATGAAATAGTTGAAATTTGCAGGAAATCAATTGTGAAAACTCAAAGTGCTTTTAAAACATTAAAAAATGTGAGGAGTGCGCCTTCTAAGAACTCCATTAAGCGTTTATACGAAAAATTCTCGACTGGTAAGACTCTTTCTAATCCGAAGAGGCCATATAAAAGTCGACCAAGGCGATCGGCTGAGAATATCGCTGCCGTACGAGCCAGTGTTGAGAGGTCCCCAAGAACATCCCACAAACGCCGTTCTCAGCAGTTGGGCATGGCTCGGTCCACTTTACAACGGATTATTCGCATTGATTTGCATTTGTTCCCGTACAAAATTCAATTGACGCAAAGAATGTTGCCTGCGGACAAGCCTCGTCGATTGGAATGGGCCCAAAGAGTCATGGGTCCGTCGAATATGGGCAACCCTGTATGAAAAATTGCAGCTTGTCGGAATTATGCTTAATTAAAAAAGCCTTTTTATAAACCAAAATTTAAGAATATTTTTTTATGATTCACTTTTGATTCTCCAAGTCCTTTTGTAGAATATATCGTTATCTTACCCAAAAAATGAGGTATAGGGGGTGTTATGGACTCATGATTGAAACGGGATAAAATAGCATTAGTAAGTCGGTTTTGTCTACAGATTTATATCCCCAGCCTTGACATATGATTATTCAAACTGTTGACTCTTTATGTGGGAGGTTCCGAAGCACTTGGTCAATATTGAACAATTCGTATGTGACCTAAGACCGATATGAATATTACAACATGACATATTTGGATTATATCGACTACTTCCTATACTTTTTATGAGATATGTGCAATTTTTTGAAAATGTGGAAATACAGGGTGAGATAAAAAACTGCAACAAAGTCAAACGCCATAATTTTTTTCCTTTTTTTCAGATTTTATCAATGAATGCAAAAAATGTCGGAAGTAGCATAAAATTTTAGAATAAGTTTAGATTTGTTCGAATTGGTCACCTTTGGCACGAATTATGGCCTTACAACGGCCATGAACCGTCACACGCTGCCCTGAATGTTGCTCTGCGGTATTTTAGACCCATTCCCTGGCGAAGCAGCTTGCTTGAGGTGATCGACACTTTGATATTTTTTAGTGACAACATTGCTTTACAAAATACTCCAGACACAATAGTCCAACGAGATTGGTATCTGGAGATTTTGGTGGCCATGTGCGCTGGAAATGAAGCGAGGAACTCCATTTATAACAATTCTTGGG